TTTTAAGAGACCATTCCACTTTATTATAACATCCGGATGCATAAGGACTCATGTAAAGCAGTCATACACCATTATCATTAAAACCCATATGGTAAAATACATACACAGTCCAACAAAAGGCTAATACATAGTAAAGCCTAAGCATACTACTATGTAATATTATAATACATAACTTGGAGACTTCAGTTAGAGTACTATGTTATCTATTCATTTTTGAAAACATTCATTAAGATTTTAAATGCAAATTCATTCCTTATTTGGAATAAAACAAAATCCTCTAAGTTATAACAAGTATTGGTCATAAGTTTTCAGACCTATTCATTAAATTACAAAGAACCCAAAGAATTCTGAAATGTCCAGTATAAGTATGTAATAAAAACATTGCATATATTTCTAGTGTGATGTCTTTAGCAACTGTTTACTGAAATAAAATGCAAACATCAATCTTTCAAAATACAAGATCAGAAGGTAGTTTTCTTCTTTTTTGTCTAATTGTGAAATCCATCTTCATCACATTTTACCAAAAATTGTTTTTACAAATATGTAAAAGTACATTAGATAATACTAATGAAACACAGGTAGAGTTCTAGCATATGCAGATCAATGATCAGTCAAATCATCTTCTCCAAGAACGAGATTCATTGTCCTCTTCTTCTTCATCATCATCTTGAAGTAATGAGTCATCCACCAAAGACTCTTCCTGAAACTTTAGGTTAAAATGTATTTAGGAATTTACCCAAAAAAAAAAAAAAAAAAAAAAAAAAAAAAAAAAAAAAAAAAAAAAAAAAAAAAAAAAAAAAGAAAAAAGAAAAGAAAAGAAAAAAAAGGTGACACTTTTAAATACTGATCTCTCTCAACAGAGTTGAATACAAAAGGTATTTTTATAGCTAGAACATTCACAAAACAAAGAAAAGCAACATTTAACCACTCAATGGTTTCTCTCTACGACCTATTCTATTTGCTTGCATGAAACAGGCACTAAACAAATATCGAATTAAGCCTTTGTACATGCCATATTTTCCTGCCTCTCTTTGGCAAATTACACCATCTTCTGTACCTTTAAAATATTGGTCAAACTTTTAAAAAAAGAAAACAAGTTTTCTCTAATTTACGCTCCTAATCTTGAATACTGAAATCAACCAATAACTTGTATAAAACTCTACCAAGATTTATATTTGTATTTATTTTCTGCTGTATGCAACAAACATTTTCTATTATTGCATTCCTTTCTTTTCCCCATTCCCTTCATAAACACTTCTCAGACTGCTATTTCAAACTTTTCAAAATACCTAATACCAGGAGCTCTCCTGCTTTTCTCCCCATTCAATTCAAACTCATGGAAGGACAAAGGTATAATCTAAAATATAAAATGACAAATCATGTGTATGAGTTTCAAAATATACATTTTTATTCTTGCATTTGACTATGGATATGTATAACAGCCTTGAAATGCTCTTCAAACAAAATGAAGTGTGCCATTATGAAGGTAAAACATGGAATCATTTAGTTTTCCCACCTTACCTTTATTTCTTAACTTACACTTTCTCCTAACGCTTATTTTGTGATTAAGTAAGAGTTGCTTACTTTTAAGTTTTTGGTTTCAAAGGGCTCTCTACCACTTCACTGGTTCACACCTCTTAGCCATCAGACTAACTGGTGTTAGTCAAAGAAAAATGTACTTCCACTTTTCCTGACGCTTATCCCTCTAAAATACCTCTCAACTATAATCCCAGCTCCAGTTCTAAATTATGAAAGCTATTTTATCACTTAGGGCCCAGTTCCACTGTCAATACCTCCTTTAAAATTTTCTGGGATGGAAACAATCACTCCTTCCTCTGAGTTTCCAGAGCATGTTGTTCAAATCTTCATTCAGTGTTATATCAGTCTGCCTTTTATTGTAACTAGTTTCTTATGTGTCTGTCACCACCCCCCTTTTCAGATTATAAGCTCCTTGATGATCGGGACCGTGTCTTATTCATTTTTGTGCCTAAGACATTATCTACCATATAACAGGCATTCATTCTAATGACTAAAATGATATATGAATTAAAATGAAGGAAAGCTGAAATGTTAATAAAGCAACTGAGAAGAGATTACCCTAAAACTTAAAATATTACAAGATTTCCTGTGGATAAAAATCTAATGAGTAATTATCATTTCTAAGGGTAAATAGAGTATATACATAATTTTCATATATTCTTTTTGAATTAGCAATCCACAGTTTTTCCTCATTATCCAGTTAAAATTTAAAGTTGTTTGCATTTATCTGATATCCCTTGCCTGGACTATGGGTCAGGAATAAAAGTTTTATGTTAAAATCACAGCCATAAAAAAATCACATTTTATATAAAACTATGAACGATTAAGGGTAAAAATAAGTGGGAAAAAATATAACATACTTCTTCTTCATCAGGCTCAACTTCTTCTGTTTCAACAGCTGAAATATTAGTTACTGGTTTATTCCATGCCAGTTTTAGATCTTGCCCTTTGAAACGAGCTCCATGAACTGCAGCCTAAAATGATTAAAAATATTGGAATATAAGACATTAAGCATTTCTAAAGAAAAAATTAAATTTCATAGTGCCTAACATTAAAGTCAAAATAGTTAAACACAACTGAAGACAGCTATCCATTTGGTTTTTGGTTAATTCTCAATTTACTATTTGTTATTATAATTTACAATTTACTTTTGATCGTTTTTTACTTCTACAATCAGACCAGTAATTGGAAATTCCTTTAAAAAGAAAATAAGAATAATTTCTCATAATAAAATAGAGCTATTTCACTAATGGCCAATATTTGATTAAAAGAAATATGTCTACTTGTTTACAATACAATGACAATTGCTATTTAAGATGACAATCCCAAGACATTTCAAGATCCTGGTTTTAGCTTCTGAATCAATGTCTAAATTAGGATCAATATGCTAAATATGTTTTATTTCAACTGTTCATTTACAAAAGGGACATATATAATAACTATTAATCTTTAATAAGAAAAATTTTGCATGTGTAAAGTATGATGCTATTTTCAAATTACATCAAATAATCAACTACTATAAAATGTTTAATGTAAAACTAATAAAAAATATAAGTATGTCAACAAAAGGAAAAAAAACCCACTGAAATTTTCTATTGAAAAACAGTTTTTCCTACAAAGCTTTTATAACTGAATATAAAACGTGCACTTACAAAACAGTCATGTCTAAGCACTTGCTACTTAGGTGGCTGGTTTGGAAACACTGTATTCATATTAGAGTAACATGAACTAAGGTAAATCAATGTTAGCAACATACTGCAATAACTTATACCCACACAAGATTTATAATACAATCTCAAAGTACACTGTAATGTGAAATGTAGAAACAATTATATATTCAATGATATCTGACATAAGTTGTGTGGTATTAAAATCCCCAGGCATAAATTTTAAATCTGCACATACAAATTTATGATAAATTTAAAAGATTTCATGCCTATTAAAATGCTGCTCAGGAGTCACAATGTCATACAACTAGAATTTTTTTTAAAAAGTACTTATATATATTTTAGTTCCGGAACAACCTGCAATTTTTTGACGCTATCATTAAGTAAAAATGAATCATAGTACTATAAGAAATTCCACCTGTTTAATGCAAAATGTCTACTCATAAAACTCTTCCTTACATTCAGCTAATTCATCTAAAAAGCAAAAAATAATACTGACATTTTCAAAAATAAGTTACTGACACTAATTTCTGATGATCTAACTTTACACAGCTCTATATTCAGCACACACTTCCTCAAATTTGTAAGATGAGCCTACAACTTACTAGAGTTTCAACTTTAAGATTATTTACAAGGTGATTTTCAGACTGTTTATTAACATTGCTCCATTACAAACTTGAGAATTAGGCTCTGTAAATTTTTGAACTACTTGAGTTTTTGCTTTTTGAAGATGTGTATTCAGGAAAACTAAGAACTTAGATGTTAGAAGAAACATATTCCATAATTTCCTCCATTCTCATAAAACTATTTATATTAATTAGAAAAGTTCAAGAAACCAGTATTTCAGGTAACTGCAACATAAAATCTTTAAAGTTTAAACAATTCCTTCTGCAATTCACCCATTTTACTTTTTATAAAGATTCAAAATTTCAGACCACATAATGTAAAAAGCACAGCCCATGATTATCCCTAAGAGATAACCACTATTCTGTGAGGAATTCAGTTATATCCTTCATATGTTTTTCTATACACATACTAAAAGAATTTCTGTATACAAATATGTATGGTACATATATGGAAATATACTTTACTGGTTTATGACTTCATAATTAAATTATTAACCCAATTCTCTTCATAAATATCTCTCAATGTCCTCACCAACAAATTTGTCACTTCCCTTGTATAGTCATATATATTATATAGCTAGCATCATTAAACCAATTTCTACAGATATGAACCTTGTATATTTGTACATCTTGTGTGACTTTCTATTAGTAAAAGTGAAATGTTTCTTGATGTTTTTCACAATCTGTGCTGCTAGTATTTTTCTAAGTGAATGAAGTTTGATGATATTTTGGACAAAATATTTTCCCCAACTGGATTTTGATTTTGTTTATGATGCATCTTTTATTGGACAGAAGGGGGCTGCTGTTGTTCATTTCTGTCATGAACAAGTTTTAAATTCTTCACGTAATGGAATTTATCAATGTTTTCCTTTATGAATATTGTGCCATACCTTAAAAAGCCCTCTTGATATTAAGATTATTTTCAAAAAAATCCCTAGGGTTTTACTATTAAAAAAAAAAATTTATAGCATGTATTAAATGTTTCATGTATTAAAAAAAGAAAAAAAATTCACCCAACTTAATTTGGACATTAAAAAAAGACATAATGCTGTCTTTTCCAAATAGCTAGTCGATTTTCCCAATATCATTTAATGAATAATTTGTTTTATGCCTTGATTTAAAACATTGCCTTTGTGGTCCATTAAAATCCTCATGAAGTCATGCACCGTAGAACAATGTTTTGATCAACAATGACTGTATATACAACAGTGGTCTCCTAAGATTTTGATAAACCTGAAAAATTCCTATTGCTTAGTGACCTTGTAACTATCATAACAAATTACTCACATGGTGATATTGGTGTAAATAAACCCACTGTGCTGCCAGTCCAGTCATATAAAAGTATAGCACATACAATTATGTATAGCATAATCCTTGAAAATGGTGGCAAACGACTGTTACTAGTTTACGTATTTATTATACTATACATTTTATCATTATTTTAGAGTATACTTGTACTTACTTTTTTAAAAAAAGTTAATTATAAAACAGCCTCAGGCAGGTTCCACAGGAGGTATTTCAGAAGAAGGAATTGTTATCATAGGCAATGATAGCTGTGTATGTGCTATTGCCCCTCAAGACTTTCCAGTGGGACAAATGTAAAGGTAGAAAACAGTGATACTGATGATTCTGACCCTGTTTAGGCACATGCTAATTTATGTGTTTGTTCTTAGTTTTTAATTAAAAAGTTTAAAAAGGAAAACATAAAAAATGTTAAAAATAGAAAAAAGCTTACTGAATAAGGATATAAAGAAAGAAAATATTTTGTACACCTGTGCAGCGTGCTAAGTGATGTTACAAGAGTCAAAATGTTTTTAAAAATTGTAAGGTTTACAAGTAAAAGTTTTAACAAACTAAGGTTAATTTATTATTAAAGAAAGGTAAAATGTTTTTATAAGCTTGGCATAGCCTAAGTGTTTTTAAAGTCTAAAGTACAAGTTTATAAAATAGTATAGTAATGTCCTAGGCCTTTACATTCACTCACTAACTCACCCAGGGCAATTTCCAGTTCTGCAAACACCATTCATGGCAAGTACCCCATACATGTATACCATGTTTTATCTTTTATACTCTATTTTTACTGTACCGCTTCTATGCTTAGATATGTTTACTTACACAAATACTTACCATTGTGTTACAACTGCCTCAGTTGTCAGTATAGTTAACACAATGTCACAGTTTTGTAGCCTAAGACCAACAGGCTATACCATACAGTATAGTTGTGTAGTAGGTTATTCCATTTGTTTGTGTAAATATACTCTGTGATGTGTGCACAACAATGAATTTGTCTGAACGACACATTTTTCATAACCCTCTTAAGTGGCACATGTCTGTATAAACTCAGGTCTATTTCTGAACTATACCATATTATCTGCTTTGTACTGCCTTTTAACAGTACAAATAATACAATTAATATAAATAATTTTTTAAAGTGTACTATGGCAGTGCTGCAAGGGTTATGTATGTACTTCAAAATTTCATTAAAAAATTCTTAAACAATGAACTGTATAACCATTTATAAAATGTTAAAGAACACCAAGTTTAAATGTGCTTTACAGGATGCCTACTTGGGCAAGGAGGTAGTGGTCAAAAGGGTGAAAGTAGAGCTAAATGTAAACCACAAAATATGAAAGGGGGGGAAAACAGTCTCAGATGAAGATAAAATTTGCTTCCCAATGCAAATGTAGAGAAATACCTGACAAAAATATCCCTCCCAAAATTTACAAACTAATCTTAATTTTGAAAATCATTTTAAAAAGTAAAAAGGGAAATAGAAAGAAAAAAGAGATTTTAGTGGTTTTAAAAAAATAAAATAATCCCAGGCTGGGTATGGTGGCTCACATCTGTAATCCCAGCACTTTGGAAGGCTGAGGTGAGTGGATCACGAGGTCAGGAGTTCAAGATCAGCCTGGCCAACATGAGTGGTAATTGCACCACTGCACTCCAGCATGGGTGGCAGGGCAAGACTCTGTCTCAAAAAAATAATAATAATAAAAATACAATAATCTCAGCACTTTGAGAGACTGAGGTGAGTGGATCATGAGGCCAAGAGATCGAGACCATTCTGGCCAACATGGTAAAACCCAGTCTACTAAAAATACAAAAATTATCTGGCAGTGGTGGCACGCACCTGTAGTCCCAGCTCCTCAGGAGGCTGAGGCAGGAGAATCACCTGAACCTGGGAGGCGGAGGTTGCAGTGAGGCAAGATCATGCCACTGCACTCTAGCCTGGCAACAGAGTGAGACTCCATCTCAAAAACAAACAAACAAAAACCAATAATACGGGATTTAAACCAGGAGAGAATGGTTGGAAGCAGTACAATGAAATAAGATGAAAAAGAAAAAAAATCATTATAAAAATATCAAAATGCATTATAAAAATCCATTTCTGAGCTGGGTACAGTGGCAGAAACCTGTAATTCTAAGCACTTTGTGAGGCTGAGACAGGTAGATTGACTGGTTGAGCTTTGGAGTTCAGGACCACCCTGGGCAACATGGTGAGACCCCATTTCTACCAAAAAAACACAAAAATTAGTCAACTGTGGAGGCGTGTGCTTACAATTCCAGCTACTCGGGAGGCTGAGGTGGAAGGATCACCTGAGCTCAGGATGTCAAGACTGCAGTGAGCTGTGATCATACCACTGCACTCTAGTTGAGGTGACAGAGTGAGAACCTGTCTCA